AAACTCACAGATTTTTGCGAAAATTTACATTTTTTTTTGCGAAAATCTGCCAGATTTTTGCGAAAATCTGTCGAGTTTTGTGAAAATTTGCACAATTTTGCGAAAACTTGCCGATGCTTGCGAAAATTTACCGATTTTTACGAAAATCTGCCAGATTTTTTTCGAAAATTTGCAGATTTCTGCGAAACAAATTGCCGCTTTTTGCGAACATTTGCCGATTTTTGCGAAAATTTACCGATTTTTTTTGCGAAAATTTTAAACCTTTTTTTCCCACCGAAAATTGTTGATTTTTGCCGAAATTTGCAATTTTTGCGAACATTTGCAATTTTTGTAAAAATTTGCAGATTGTAGTGACAATCTGAGTCTGATGATTGTTGAAAATTAAAGATTTTCCTTGGAATCTGACGATTTTTGCGTCATTCTGGGGACCTTTCTGGATGGAGTTTTAATCTTGCAGAGTAAGTCGTGCGACATCCAACTCTCATAGGAAAACTTTGCAAGCTGTACAGCCTAATGTTGGACAGGCTTTACCTTTGCTGTCCACTTATGCCTTTGCCTTGCCTTTCTTAAGCCAGAGCTTGAGTTTTGTTGAGCTTCTGCGGCTGTTTGTCTTCGTTTAAGCAAAAATAATCGCACTTTTGCGTAAATTTAATTGAATTATGCGATTTTGTTTTAAGGCGAACACGCAAACATTCAAAGAAAATTGATTTTTGAATAGGCTTGTGGGCCGGGAGCCCGAAAATTCGAAAATTTACCGATTTTTGCGAAAATTTGCCGATTTTTGCGAAAATCTGCAGATTTTTTGCCATTTTTTGCGAAAACCTGCAGATTTTTTTGCGAAAATTTACATGTTTTTCCGAAAATCTGCAAATTGTTGCGAAAATGCGAAGATTTTCGCGAAAATCCGTAAACTGGCAAGGAGGCAGGGCCGATATGTTTTTGGATTCTTGGATTTTTGCGAAAACGCGGAAACTAGCGTTTTTGGATTTCTTAATTTTTGCGGAAATCCGCGCCCCGACACGCAAATTTTACGTGCAGCATTTAGTTGACTTAGGATTAGTGATTTCGGACATTTGGGTATAATATCCCTATAAACCCTATATAACCCTAATATTACCCCAATGGGACTATACCCATTCAGGCCCGCTTTCTTTTTTTTCGTTCGTCAGAGGCCCGCTCTCTCTGTCTCTCCCTCTCGCTCTCTCTCTGACTCGGATCCGTCAGCTGCCGTCTCCATTCAGGCTACTAAAGGAATGAAATCTAAGTCTTTTGAACGGTATGGAGCCGCTGTAAGGAACTTAAACAAAGCTCCGGTTTATGTATATGTAGGGTCTAAGTCCTACAAATGAGGAAATCCGATCTTTTTGCTCCTATATCTCTATGTCTATATCCATATGCTGGTAACTTGATCTACGTTCCTGTCAGAGCAACCCACTTCATTCAGCGTCCTTGCAGGGCTTAGGATGTTGGCAAAAAAAGGGTAGCAAACTCCATGTAGCCTCATGTGTGTGTGGAACGTGGTGGTTGGCAGCGCGTAGAATGCAACAAAACCGCAAAGCATGGTCATTTCCTACTGTATGCTCCCCTGCTGAGAACTTCCACGCGAGTAAGGGTCAAACCGCCATGTGCTCAATGCCGCTGAGAGGATCAAGAGGAGCTGGTGCCGGCGGGAGCAGAATCCAAGTCAGCGAATGAATGTACTGAATCTGAAAAGACTCCTCCTTGATCCGTGCCTAAGTAGCCGTAGAGGGTCGTTTACACTGAGCTGTAATGGTTGTGGGCTCGTTACGCAGGTCTACAAAGCTAGTTGAGAACAATTCAGGCGTTGAATAGATCCAAGCAGCAATGTTGAGCCAGCTGTTTCCCGTTGAAGCGGATATGGTGTCACCCAACGCAAACCAGATACATGCTAGAATGTGCGCAACGGCCCCAATGGCAACCAGCATCTTACCCACTGTAAAGCCAAGGATGAGCCATTGCCGCCCCATTGATATGACCAAGTTCTCGAGAAGGACATTGATCTTGCCCGCTTTGAGAATGCGGAGAATCCGAATTGTGCGCAAAATCCGCAGATACCGAGCAGACCGCAGCGGCTGCAAGAAATCCGCTGGTGCATCCTCTGTTGCCTGTCAGTGAGAACTGGCAAGTGAACGCCAACAACCACTGTAGTGACAGGTAGCACTTACTTCAGGTTTGGAGCAGTGCCCCGCCCGCTGACGCTTTGTAAGTGTTAAGCATGTCGCGCTTCAGGGACTTCATCTATCTTCGCTTCCATATGCTAACTTTAGGCCCTTGCAAATTGACCCTTGGATGCCGAGACACCTGCCCCAAGAAGCCTGCAGCAAAGTCTACCATAACGACACACACATCGAAGCTGAGCCATGTGTAGGCATAGCGCTTTGCTATCTCCCATCGACGAGTTTCGATAAAGCCGCGAACATAGAATGCCGTATTGAAATTTACTATGATATCTAAGGGCCAGAAGAGCAACGAAGCAATAGCGAACAGTTGCAGCACAAGGCTTGACACGCTGTTCGATGTAGGCACTGGGGTAATCTCCCAGTTCCAAGCCATGGTCATGGGAAGCAGGAACGCATCACATACAATGAGGAGGACGCCGCAGAGATCCCAGATCAAGCGGAACTTGGAGTTTGGAGGGATGACCTGGGATACTCTCAAAATATGGGCTGCTTCTTTGGGGACCCCTCGGCACATTTTCAGCTTCAGGAATGGGACCCCACATTTTGGAAATGGCCCGCCTGCAGTATAGACTCACACCTCTGCAACTCTGTGCTGGGTCCGCCCTGCGATGTGTGTGGACTGGCGACGTGGGATGTTGAGTGGACGCCAGTCATCCTCAGTCGCTCCTTCTTCAACGCGTGCACAGATTCCGCTGCTCGCATGGAAAGCTCCATGAGGTGCGAATTCAAGCGCATGTGCGAATGAGCGCTGGTGCCCAACATCTCTGCAGAAAGCTGTAACGCATCACCAGACAGGGTTGCAGGCTCCTCGTAAGGGATCGACATTACATCGTCCTTTAGGAGCCAGTCCCCCAGTGAGTCCACTCTTTCAAAAGAGCCCTTACGTGCAGACACGTCAACGCCTTCGGTGATTCCAGTCCCTGCAGTTTTCGTGTCGGAGATGCAGTCGTCCCGCAGGACTCTCAGGTGCTTTTGAATGCGCCCAAAAGCATCCTGCAACTCGGACTCCAGGTTTTGAAAGCCTTGTGCCATTGATGTCGAAGCCATGGCTCCTGGAAGTGTCTCGGCCACCTAAGTCTTGCAGCCCTCTCCTTGCCCCTGGACCTGTCGGCAGTTTGCTATGTTGGCTTCGGTTGATGACCTATGAGCTGCGAGATGACATGCCTGCGCTGGCCATGTTCTATGCCTGTTGGGCCGTGTTAGCTTTATCATAGCCACCTGTTCTTGATCTGCTCTGACAAAAAACAACACAAGCACGATGCCAGTAAACTCACGAGCACATGACAACAGCGTGCATCAAACCGTTCTAGCAACTTTACCCACTTATGCTTTCATTTTTGCGATTACGGCACGAAAATTGTACCACTTGATCACAATGGTCTGCTTAACAGTCCAAAGCGATTCAACGAGAACTACACGCACTTGCCGTGCAAAAGCATCGAGGGCTCTTGCCGCACCTAAAACAGTCCGCGGAGCGTTGGAATTCCGCATCACGATTGCTGACGCAGATGCTGTGATATGCTGCAAGACATCAGCAATCAGAAGTGGCACTGTACAAGGACTCGCTGCTGGGTCGCAGTCTTTGCATCATCCATCTTCCTCGACTTGTATACCAGCTCGCGAACGGAACCTGCAAGTAGAACGACATCTGAAGGAGGTTCGCGGACCCTGCGCCAGTTCTCAGCCGACACATCCAGGTGGAACCTGTCTTCCTTCAGAGTGAGCGTGGCGCGAGCCAGGCATGTTGTGAACACATAGCCGTTCTGCACCATCAAGATGAAGGCTGCCTCGAATGGTCCTATCCCTTGGGAATGCTAAGCTACTATACTGTGGTCACGCTAACCAGAGATAAGAAACCTTCCCTATCCACTACAGAAGACGGTTTGAGGCACGCAACAGCCTACCCGCATATGACGTTGAACATCCTACCTGGAAGGTTTCTGCCACTTCTGGGTGCTCAAGCTCATGCACATCTGCTGTGTGCAGCGCGGCTTTCTCAGCTTAGTAGCTTCCGTTTTCTTTTCCATTCTCCCTAAACCCTATAGTAGTTTCCATTTTCTTTTCCATTATCCCTACAGCTCCGGTTGGGAACTACCCTGAGCCCTGTTCCGGACTTCCAGCCATGTCGAGAGCTCATGGTATATATATATATTTATATATATCTATATATATATATATATGTGGGGTCTAGGGTTTAGGGTTCTATGGGGGATATTTTTTGGGATGATGGAAAAGAGCATGGCAACTACTTCATAGTACATTGGGATTATATAGTGTATTGGGGCTATATAGGGATAATGGAAACACGGAAACTACTACATTATAATAGGGTATGTATCAGGATTATCTGCTTCTTCTTAAATGTTGGCCCACCACTACAGCTTCAACTGGTCGAGCCTACAATCGAAGCAGTGCCAAAGGCCTCACCAAGCTGCCAAGTCTGCGAGCTCCACCGTGACGATTTTCAGGTCCTTGGGGGCAGCTGCTTGAACAGCCTGCAAGAGCTCCACAAGAACCTGCAGAAGTGCGCGGACCGTCACAAACGGGTTCGTTCGTGCACGCTCCAAGCACAAAGGTAGGAACTCACAGACAATTGCTCGTGTGGTAATTCCATCGGCCAAGAAGTGCTTGGTAAGTTCAGCTTGCTCTTGCGCTGTGAGGCCATCCCAGGCTTCTTGAAGCTGCGCTACATCGTCGGCTGTTTGCGCCCGGCAGTTGCATGCAAGGCGAAGCAAAGCCAAATCTGCAGGCTGTTCGGCCCGCTTCCTCAGCTCAAGCCCACGGTGGTGGATGTACGTCCAGTACAGCGGGGCCGGATCCTGCTGGTTGGCGTGCTTGAGCGTCGCGAGTCCCAAGAGCGTGGCTCTTGCATTGCTACGCGTCATGAATCGCGAGCCCTTTCCACCCGCTAGGCCGCTCATGAATCCCAGAAGATAGAGCACGTAAAATTTCAACAGCTCTTCACCCCCCTGTGACTGAACAATGTCTTTGAGGTCCCGAAGATTTGCAGGAACGTTCTCGCCCTGGAGCATCTGGGCAAAGTTGAAGGTCCCCTGCATCTTCAGCATGTTTCCAACCAGCTGCTGGACACTGCTCCCCAAGCTACTGGCCGATGGAACTGCCTGGGTTGCTGTTAAGGAACTTAAACTAAGTTACCATAATGGGTATATATAGTAAATAATAGGGTTTCCCCAATATAGTAACTTAATTTAAGTTCCGTAACAGCAACCCAGCTGCCCTTGGATAGGTATCGAGTATGTACTTCATTGCCTTCTCTGGCCTCTGATGTCCTGCTGGAAGCTGTCGCGTGAGCGATCTGAATTTGCTGACGCCCTTAACCTGGGTTGCTTTGAGGGAACTTAATTTAAGTTACCCCAGTTTCCATTTCATGGTCCATTTTCTTTTCCATTTGATTCTCCATTATAGGGGGAGAATATCCTGAACCCTGAACCCTAATCCTGGTTTCCAATTCATTTTCCATTTTTCTTGTCCGTTTGATTTTCCATTATAGGGGGATGATATTAACCCTAAACCCTTTTGCCTAAACTCTAACTAATAGTTTCCATTTTCTCTTCCATTATTCCTAAATAACCCCTGTATAAGTCTAAACCCAGTAACCGCCAAGAGGAAGATCACCGCAAGCAGCTCGTGGTCACTGGGGGCAGTCCATGCAAAGAGCTCCTGCAAGTTGGGTAACATTAGGGTTTGGGGTTTAGGGATTAGGGTTTGGGGTTTAGGGTTTGGGGTTTGCTGCAATGTTGCGCAGCA